CAAAGTGACATTAAAAACAAATCCCAACTACAAACAAATACGAAGTCATAATTTCATTTTCGTCGCTGAACTCAAAAGCTTGATTTTCGACATGAATGGTAAACGAACACCGAATGGGCTGGCGAACGCATACAAGAGATTAAAGCAAAATTCATTAGATGCCTTTTTGGGAGAACCGGGAGCTGATGAAGGCAGAAATAGAGAAGGTTATTAAAACATTCTTTTTACTCCTCTTTGGTATTCTTTTTAGTTTATTTTAGACGTATAATTGGATGAATAAGGAAGGAAGTTTTCACAACTTTTTCGAATCTCTATCCCAAAAATCCTTAGTTATTTCAGTATTTACAAGTACAAATATATCAAGAACAATCGGTTGTGATTTATATCTGATTAGTAATGCTAATTGCCAAAAGAGAGCTTGTGATAAGAGCGTGTTAAATGAACTAAGTGAGGCTCAGAGTAAACAATGAATCAGTGATTTCATAAAGCTAGCTGAAGCGTATTTGCTAGTTGCTGAACGATCTTCGGATATGCAATTCATTATGCCGAGAAAAAGGCAATTTATTCACAGTTCTCATCATTTTCCGAAAAGAACCAGTACCTCACCGGTTAAAATTTTACCGGTTAGAATTGAACGTTTATTTGCATCAAAAATGTTAGCTCGCGACCAGTCCCTAATTGTTCTAGAGATAGACAAAAAATTAAACTCACAGATTTCTACGTACAGAGTGGTGGTGTCTAGAATTTTTTATCGAGAATGAGTACAGCTCAATAAAAAATTTCCGAACAACACCACTGTGTGTTCGTCAAAATTTCAAAATGAACCAATCACTTAAAGTGAACATTTGAAAACACATTTACATGTCGTGGCTGTAGCTGAGTGTGTAGAGATGCTTGCTACTATTGGTTGTGCTGTCAGGAGTGGCCGAGTTCAAATCCCATTAGCGTAACTTATAATTTTAAATTTTTGTTTTTCTTAAATACGAAAAAGCATTCGTGAATTACACAATGAAATCGTGTTAAAACGAAAAACTTTATTAAAATTAAAATGTAAATGGACTAGTCCAAAACCAGATAATAAAGAACAATTAGCCAAAATAGGACATCTTACGGTGAGTTGTTGGACCGGTCCTTTTCCAATGACACGTCAATGTTAAAAATGGCAGTTGAAACCATTGACAGGGGAAATATGAGGAACTTTTATTGGTAACAATATGGGCTATCCGAGGACTAACCTAGGGTGGGTCCGAATTGCTACAGGGAATGTATATATCGTTCGTTGCTTTCTGAGCTGACGGTTGCTTCACTATGTTTTGACGTTTCTTGTCTCTTTCGAAAATGTCTTGTCGCTCTCCTTGTCGCGTAACTATGTTCTTTGCCCAAAAACATCAATCATGGGAAAGAGTTGGGCTATATTTTGTTCCTTTTTATTTCTTCAAAATTTTCTCTATTCTGCAATTCCGCAATTCTTGATTAAAATAAGTATCACAGGCGTTTGCCGATTTAAAATTAACATACTTAGGGCCGTTTCCTCAAGTAGGTTTTCAAAGTTATCCGTCCTTCAAACACATTTTTCAGTACAAAATTTGTGTATAAAGGGCAGATAAAGCTTGAAACACATTCGAAACGACGGGCTACGGACCACAGCTAGGGATGCAAACGATGCATAGATATTTTTGAAACATCGATAATATCGGTTCGAAATTCGATGTTTGCCATCGATGTTTACAATTTACTAAAATCGCTAAATTGACGATACGTCGATGCCAGTTTCACCGATGTTTTAACATCGACTTATGCTCCCAAAATTTTTTGACTGGTCATGAATTTTATTCCTTATTCTTTTGAGGAACATTCAGAAAGTCCGAGTTTACTCTTATCTTTCGATATTAAAAATGCTTACTTAGTCATTAAACAAGGACCGGGATCCCGTTGAAATTTCACCGAAATTGGGCCCTGGAACTATAGGCTCATCGAACTTACGACGGCATGCATTTCTATTCTATTTATAGGAAGGGTAAATGGGTGGTAAATAAATACAGGGAAATGCATCCATATGTAAGTATATTTCTAATTGAATTACAGAGAGTTTGAATTGAAAAGTATTAAATTTTCCTTTTAATGTGACTACACCCTAACAACTTTTGAAACATCGGAAACCATCGATATATCGATGTTTTTCTAGCGATGTATTTTGGCATCGATATTAATTTTTCCGTACAAAAAATTTTAAAATCTACTTGAGAAAGGGGCCTTAGCTTTCCAAAAGTTTCCTAAGTTATGACAAAAATTTTACTTAATCTGCTTTATGGGCTGTTTTTGCTTACGCGTAAAAGCACATTTAGCGCATTTAGCTCTAAATGCTACTCTAAATGTACATTTATCCATATAAAATTCGTCACCTAAATGCAACTAAATGCAACTGCATTTTTGCATTAAGAATCCAAATGCTAAAAGCAACCCTGTGTTCTTCCAAAATTTCCACGATTCGAACATGGTTTAATGAGAAAAAGTGGCAACATTGCATTTTCGAGTATACAGTGGCTAGCTGCGTTTCAGTGATCGCCGATCGAGATTTCATTTATTATTTTACATTATTTGGGAAAAGAAAAGTTAAGAAAATTCAATATCCATGTGATGCTGATAGAAATCTGGATCAATTTGTGATCAATTTTGTTTGTTTTGTGTCCTAATTAAGTGAGGAAATTTTAATTGACAGCACCGACAAATGAATATATATGTACATAAACAAATGGTCGGTCATGGTAAAACAATTCAAATTTTTGTTTTGGTTTAAAATTTATTTTTTCCTTTTTGCACATTATCTTTTGCGTGAGAATTGATCGTAATAGATACGGATCTGAATAAGCGACTGGAACACGGCTGTTTGTCAAAAGCATACGATTTCGAACTCGCGTAAATGTACATTTGCTAAATGCGATAGCATGAACGCTCTTCGAAAACATATGTTCGAAAGTGCTAAATGTTGCATTTTAAATGCAGCAAAAACGCTGCATTAGCCGCACATCCGTGGTTTATACCCTCTTCATTATAACCTTGCATTGCATTTTCGCTTGCAATCGTTGTAAGTAGGCCTGCGAAAGCTGACTAAAATATAAAAATAAATATACTGCAATTCAAAACAGCAGAAAGGACCTTCACAGTTTGCGAAAGTGTACAAATGTAGCAGCACAGAAATCAGTCAAATGTATTCAGAAAATTGCCTCCAAGTCGACCTTACTTTTACTGTTTATTACTTCTGTTTTTGCCACCCAGTTTGTGCGCTTATTCCTTCTAAGGACCTCTTGCTTGTCGTTTGGTATTGTTTTTCAGCTGTCTGTCCGTCCTTAAGTGTACGTCCTTTTCAATATTAACATACATATTTCTCTTACTCAATTTGCACACAAATTAATGCAACATCATGTGCTGAAATTAAATTCAGCCGCTTCTGCTTATCTTGACGTTTAATTTAAGTGCAATGACGCCACGGCACCTCCCACCATGCTCTGGCGAATTTCATCTGTACATGGATTTTCGCAGAAGGTCGTTTTTTCATGGCGTTTGTATGCGAAGGCAATGCTGATTTCATCCCTTTTTGGTGTAGCGCAGATTAAAAGCAAATATTTTGTAAATATTCTACGTATGCAAGTGCTTTATCGATTCTTTTCCACAAGGGTGAATTTCTCAAGTACTGTTTATTTGTGATTAGGATCAAATAATGTTTTGATGTGAGGCGAATATAAAGCACATTTTACTGAATGTTTTTAATAATGGTTAACGAAGGGGCAAAGAGCAATCTAAAGACATTTATATATTTCGGAATTAACGTTAGACCAACATAATATTCTATGAGGCTGCAATCTACAGGATATTCCTTATATGGCCAAGCGACTCTGCCTCATGGAGGCCCTCATATTTCCATAATAAGAATGATGAAGGTATACCGTTCAAAGCTCGCCTTCTAGCCGGAATATCAAGACAGCTATCAAAGTACTTCGAAAGTAAAGCTTAATTGATTTAAAAATGTCACAAAACCCTACATTCCAGGCCCAGTATCTACTAGGAAAAGATCGTAAACAAAATATCAGGAGCCAGGTGTAACTACTAATATCTCACCACGTTTTACGAATTCACAAGTAAAGAAATACTGGCTAGGAACAATGAGTTGAACGATATTTCCCTTTACACATGATTTGGTAACTATGTATAACCAAATCATGCGTGGAGAGAAACCTCGTTTCAGGAGTGCTTGAGATGGTGAATACTAAAAGAACACTGAACCATAGACCTTATGGGCCCGCTAAAGTTCTGCACTTCGATGAATGGTCTTTAGGCATGCTATATGTGGAAGAATTTTCGGGATAAATAATTCAAGAGAAGACAGTAGTAAAATTTTCAAAAACCACTCCCGGGCAATTCAAATCTCAATTGTACTGAACTACTTAAGAGAAGCCTCCTCATAACCTAACGTATTAGAGACAGCTATTCCAAAAAGCAAGACGATTCGAAAGTTTTTTGTAAACAGACACTGGAATAAGCACTTTCAAGGATGAGGTAGGAAATTAAAGAAGCCAGCCTGCAGAAGCATTAGGAAGAACTAACCTCTTCGAGGCCTCTCTAGAGGAATCATCATAAACGAGATTAGACAAAGCAATCAACCACCTCTATAACAGCCATGACTGAACCTAATATTACGTGACCTAACCTAGTCTAACAAGTTTAGAGGTTAGCATTTAAAGGATTCCTAAGTGAGAGTTTTCGCAACAACAAAGCTTGCCAAAACCATCTAATAGTGGTGCTTCAAGGTAATATCTTATCTTATATTAGACCGTCTTAAAAGTATTGTTCATCTGAACGCATATCTCAAATACCTATTCTGTTCTTGAAGTCTTCTTTAAGTACGCTGTCACTTTAAAATCACCTGAGCCTTATGGTCTATTTTAAAACTTAAATTTAATACTTTTAACTACAAGAAAAATGTTTTTTTTTTTTTAACTTACCACAAACATCCAACCAACCCTCGACGCGACTGGGATAACTTATAGCGCAAACGCGATTAAAAGAGCGGCGACCCATCTTGTGGCTGTTGTTCCTGTTGTTATTTGGTTCGGCTGCCTACCAGTGGCCTTCTTTCACTCTCTCAACTTCCACAATCCACTCACTACGCTCTGACTGCCTTTTTTCACTTGTTCACACTGCTTTTCGCTCACTATTTCACTCTTATATATCTCGTTTACGACAAGCACTTGTTATTTAATTTTTTTGATTTACTCAGGATTATTGGATTCCAAGGATATACACATACGTATTGCTCTCAGCGCTCAAATGTACATTTCACTTGTTAGTTGCGAGCGTGAGCGCATTGAATACAAGGATACAAGCAGTGTTGTATTTCATTTCAGTGTTGCATTTTTTACATAGAGAAGAAGAGAGCGCAGCAGCTACAGCGCGCTTGAGCTTGTTAAGGATACGAGGATGCTGTATGCGCAGAGTATTTTTGTTGATTGCTTTTGTTTTCTATTGAATTTGAGATTACACATACAAAATGCTTGAGTTGTTGTTCTTTTTCTACTTTCAGTGTATTGTGGTGGGTGTTTTGCAATATTTTGTTTTTTGTATGATTTTATGCTGATGAGTGCATTTGTGTAGCTTTTATGGATTTTCCAATTCGTTGACAGAAAACTGTTTTTTTTTTTGTTTTTTGATTTTTTCTTTGTTTTTTGATTTTTTTTTGTTCTGTCGTCGTCCTCGTTTGACGACGATATCAACCACTGTTTGCTTAAAAATAAACACTGAAGAGTTGAGTTCAATCACTTCAATTGAAGTATTTTAAGCAAAGATTTAATTGATTTTTAAAGCGCTGCTGAAGTAGATATTAATTGATTAATTGTTGTTTAGTGGCTTGTTACGCTTGTTTGCTTATGTGACACTATTTTAGGCTATTATGTGACACAGATTTAGATTTCCACTTTTACGATTTAATAAATTTGTAAGATCATAATTGCTTTTCATGTTAGTATTCGCAAATCATATTTATACATACAAATCTTATGTAATTTTGGAGTTGTCACGCATTGCAATTAATTATTATTTATTTGATTTATTTATTTTTTCGCAATTTTCTATTTTTTACTGGTTTAAAAGGAAAAAAATAGCAGAGCGTCAGTGTTCTCTGCTTAACATAAATGCATTGTATTAACTTTTTTTTAAATTTTTTTCGCTTAGTTTGCGTTTATCAATGCGTTTTGCTTATACATTTTTAAGGCTAAGCAATTCTGCTTTTTTTTCTATGCCAAACAATATGCCTTTGCTCACGTTTTCATTTGCATTTTGTTTTTAACATTCAAGAACACTTAATGGAGGCCCCTTTTTTTTAGCAGTTTTTTAAGTGGTTTCACAAATTTTAGATCTGTTTTGTTTGCTTTTTAAGTTTTAAAATTTTTCATCTGCAAAATTAATGAAATAAATATTTAATTAGCACAAAAACGACCAGCTTTGAAGGTATACATACATATGTGTGCTAAACAACAACAATAACAACGCGCAAAATATTTTTTAAACATCATTTTTGATATTTGCTTAATTTTTTTTTTGTCGCTAAAGATATGTATATTCTTTTAAACATATTTGCACACTAGACTTCTACTTCTTCCTCTTTGCGCACCTTTTTATTTGTAGCCTTGTAAACATGTTTTCTAAGTGATTTACAATTATTTATTTTCCTCTCTTTCGTACATACGTACATAAGTTTATCTCATAAAGCTTCTTTTGAATAAATTTCCAGTTTCTTACAAACATTGACAGCTTTCGCAGCTGAAGACAAGTTGTATAATCAAAACCATTTGCTGCTACCAACTATTTAAACATTCATAACTGCTTCGGTTTAGCCGGCTAGCAGCTTGATTACATATCAAGTAAAAAGAAATAAAAAATAAAAAAATGAAAAAAAAATGTTTTTTGATATTTTATGCATACAATTTTGTACCTTTTTACCTTCTATTTATTGTAGTTGGCCTATTTTGAGAAATTCAGCGTCTTGTGCCCAGCTGTCCTACTATATTTATTGCTTTTCTGTTTGGACGTTTTTCATTACCACTTGTTTACTATTTAACTAATAATTCCATTAAATTATTAAAAGCTAAACATTTACAGCGTACCAATAACTGACTAAATGCAGCTGTTTTTGTTTGTTTTTTACTTTTTTTGCTTTTACATATTTCTGAACACATGATGAATGTATATATGTATATAAATGGATGTATATGTATAAATGTATGTATGTGTACTCTAACTACTTATGTATGTATATTTCAATAAAAGTATCACAAAGAAATATTATTTTTTATTTATTGCTCTCGGACACGCTTTAAATAATCAGCAAAGTAAATTTCTGTTTTATCAGAATATTTCTTAATTTTTTTTTCAGACATCATGGCATAGCATTGCACTTTCGTTGAAAATTCAAAAGAAAAAAATTACCACCCCCCTCCTCATAAAATAACAGATTGCTTGCATTAAGGAAGTTTAAATAATGTAGCATATAACAGATAAAACAATAACTGAACAAAACAATTGCCCCCCACTTCAGCGGTCAAACAAAAAAAAAAACAATGAAATAATCAGTATTTTGTTTGCAGTGCATTACTTTGCATTTTTTACATTCTGTGATATGCCAGTTCTGCAATTTTCTTTATTGATTTTAATTTACGATCTGTCATAAGGTTTCGATATGGTTTATCAATTATTTACCACCATTTAAATCATTTGGTAAAATTTTGTTTATATAATTATAATTTCCTCCTTACTGGTGATATGTACATATGTAATTATAAATTGTTCCGAAAAAAGTCATGGTAGGGGAGTGCTTTAGTTTTGGCCCTTAACTTTTCGCAGGGACTTTATTTTTTATGTATGTATGTATGTATGTAGTTGTGGTTTCGAAGAAAAAATCATAAAAAATTCATAATTAAGAATATTAAAACAGGCGAAACACTAACACATTTTTTTATTTATGTACGTATATGTACATTAGGTGGAGGAATTTGTTCGGGCAAAATTTTCAAAGAAAGTGCGAACAAACTATATACCAAAAATTACGTTTGACCATCCCAATTTTCAAAAGAAAAAGCAGTATAAACTAGAGCTCTCGATTTTGTTCGCACATTTTCAAACAGCCCGGGTATATGAGCAGCGAGTACTCGCACACTTGTTCAATGCTCATTACTCGAAAATTTTCGAGCATGAGCTAGAGCAATTCGAGTTTTTTCGAGTAATTTGAGCAATGTTTTTTTTTTATTATATTGACATTTTTGGTAGCAACTTTTTAAAATTTTAAAATTATTGATATATAATGCAAAGATTGTTACATTGGTATTTAATAATATAATTTATTTAACATGAATTAGAGAGCAGCTGCTGACGAATACAATTTACAAATTTTCTTTTGTTTATGAAATTGTTCAAAAACTCGAAAATTTTGAACAAACATTTGAGCAGTTGAGGAATGAACGAGTTTCGAGCGAGTATCGAGCTACTCGCATTACTCGATACCCGGGTATCTAGAGCTCTAGTATAAACATTGTGTGAAGAAAACACAAAATTTTTTTAAAGATAAATTAGTTTCGTTCAGAAAAAAAGATAATACATTGATTTTTCTTTTAAAAATGGGTATGGCCAAACGTCATTTTTGGTATAAAGTTTATTCACCATTTTTACTTAGAATCGAACGCAGAATTTTTATATGCTATACACTTTTTTCGAAATTAAATTACTCCGCACTAATGTACATATGTATGTACATACATATGTACATGGTATAGTATATGTACATCTGCAAGGAAACTCATACGAAAGCACACTTTGTAGATTTTCTGTGATTTTTTTGTGAATTTATGGGATAAACAGACCGCCAAATGCAGTTTTAAATCTTTGTGAAAAATCTGCTTCTGAATCAAATGTTTTTGAGTGTACATACATATTTAAGCTAAATATGTTAATAAATACTGTATTCTTTTTCACTATTTAATTTTAGTTATTTTTTATAGAAATATAGTTCATTCTTTAAAAATGTCGAGCTTTTTAATTAAGTGGAATAAAGTACGAAAGTTCGTGTCCTTGTTTTTTTTTAATTTTAAATAATGTTTCAAACTTTGATTTAAGAATGAACTAAATTTTTATAAAAAATAACTAAAATTAAATAACAAAAAAAATAATATGTTATAACTTGTCAAAATGTGGTGCGGCTATATTTTTTTCGACCAATGTATATGCTTCTTGACTCGTGTCCGTAGTTTTGTATTTCTATTTCATTTAATTCACTTAGTTTATTTCATTATTTTTGTCATTTCATTTCATTTTATTTTATTGCATTTTAGTTTAGGTTAATTTATTTTACTACATTTTTTATTATATTTAATTTAAAATTTATTTATTTTTCTTTAATTTGATTAATTATGCTTTATTTTATTTATTTATTATATTTTATTTTATTTGAATTTACTCTTATTTATTTTTTTTATTTTAATATATTTTATTTTGTGTTATTTTATTTTACTTTTTTAATTTTATTTTTTTTATTATATTGTATTTTTTTAGTTCATTTTATTATATGTATTTTTTTGTTTTTTTTTTTATTTGTTAATGTTATTTCATTTTATTTAAATTTACTATATTTAGATGCATTTCATTTTATCTTACTTTCATGTTTATTCTGCATTATTCTCCTTTACTTTTTGTCTGTTTTTTTTTATTTTATTTTACTTTATTATGTTTTACCTCGTTCTACTTTTTAATTTAATATAATTTATTTAACTTTACTTAATTTTATATATTGTGTTTTCCGATATTTATTTTTTTACCTTTTAGATACATACATTAGTTAGTTCGCGCCGCGCCTTTGTATGTAGATCTTCATTTATACGGAAAGTTTGGTTATTGCCAGTGATCGGACTTAAAAATTTGTGTGGTAGAATCTGGAAAAAAATGTGGTAGATTTCAAAAAAAATGTGGTAGATCTCAGGTTTTGGATTAAACTTTGTACAAAAATTAAAAATATTCTGCAAGCTTTCACCTAAATTGCAAACATTTTAATTATAATCTAAAAAAAAATTAATTTTAGTATAATAAAGTGCAAGATTGAAGTTACTAAAAATGCCGTTGAGTTTTGGCAATTTTTTGCCTTGACAGTGTAAAGCAGTTCCTTCCATATCAAGATATTTTTCGAACATATTTTGAAAGACTTCTGCAACCTTGCGGAGTGCTGCCAGCTTTTCTTTTAATCACATCACAATGTAGCGGACAAATGTGGCATGTTCCAGAAACCGCTTCTTAGGATTTGCCGATTTTGACAATTCTCAAGTAAAAGTAAACAACTCTTTAGAAACTTTAGATGCACTGAAATTTTCTAATACTTTCACAAAAATCGCTGTTTTTTAACATTTTCGCTATTAATTATTTTTTATAAATCATATATTTTGCAATTTAACAATAAAACCATGTTTCCTGTCGAAAAATTGAATATTGAGAAAATTTACTATTTTACGGTTTATTTTATCCTCCCATTTTGCCTGTTGTTAGTGTTCAGTGTTGGACAATTTTTGCTCTTAAAATTAAGAAAATTATGTCGAGCAAAAATAAAGCTACTCAAAAACGCGAATATGTGGTAGATTTCAGACCTTGAGTGGTAAATGTGGTAGATGCTCAAAAAAGTGGCAGATCTACCACAATGTGGTAGAAGTCCGATCACTGGTTATTGCATATGTTTGTTATT